GAATAGCTGCAGGGGCTGAACGCTGGCATAGCAGGACGCAAACTGGGATTCAAGGATGGAGAGTTTGTTATTTTTAGCATATGCACAAAGTATTTTCCTACAAAATCATTCAGTGTATGAATCATGTATTATAGCAGCTGTGTTCAAGTTCTTTTTATACCCAATCGTGTCACTGCCTGTTGTTTTACCCATCCCAACACTTTTGAGATGTGTTGCTCAAGATCAAATCCAAATTAAGGTAACGTTTGTCATAAAATAGTAAAATATGTACATTTAAACGGGATATATTGTGTGAGATTATTACATTCACGAACTATTGTACCTGCTTTTTATTTACATTCTACACAGTCCCAACTTCTTTGGAACTGTATTTGTTATTTTTGTTCTGCTCTATTTTTGCACACCCTGTTATCTAACAAATCATTCAACCGCTGATGCATCATGGGAAATACAGACAAGTATTTAATTGCATCTCGCTATTGTTGGCATCCCAGCCTGTTAATCTATTGGAGCATAATAGATACTGTAGCTCAGGCAGCGGAACACAATAGGACCACGCAATCTTGCCTCTGACATTCACACTTCAAATGTTACACACCCTCACACACACACACACGCACACTTTTAATTAGCACAGGAGTGGCTGTCTTCTTGTCACTGACTTGATCGCCCTCTATGTCAGAAACCCACACACAAAGGAGGATTGATCTCGCAAAGAGAATTCAGCTCTGCAGATTCATTTACAGGACTGATACTTGATCGCTTGCACTGGCCTACCAACAGTTCTTTATTAATGCAGGCATGCACGCACACACACACACTGATCATGCACAAAGAAATCAATACCGTTTCTATTGTCCTACAATTTTTAAAATTGTATTACATTTGAATAACATGAAGGATGAAACAAAATTCCCATGCACTCATTCAGCCACTTTCGCTGATTCTGCAGCACCACAGTTCATTGACACAATGACGAATACAGAAATAACAGAACTGACCTATTTCTGATGATTAAGACACCTGCATGGACACACACAGACACACGTAGATACTCACAGGAACAACAGCAGCCATGGAGAACGGTTAATGCAGTCTGCAATAAAGAAATAAGCATGAGTGTGTGAGTGGTTTCCTTTTTATACATGGTGGCATGGCCAGGCCACACAACGAGCCAATCATACTTCAGAAACCACAGACTAACTCCACCCACATCGCATCACTTCACATCACATCACAGTGAGGTCACTCTCAAAGCACACACACACACCTGTTGTTTCGTGTTACATAGACACCAACATGTGGTCTATTATTGAGGACTCTTTTATTTTGCAGGATATATTTAGAAGCAGCTGTTGTTCAGAGAAAGATGGGATAAAAACATGTTTTAGAGCAAGAGAGAGGGGGGGGAAGGGTGACAGAAAGAAGAAATGATAAAACTGGGAAAAATATAGTGATGGAGAAAACTGCTGAAAGACAAAAGACTTCGTCAGTGCGAGCAAGTGACGTGCCTTAACAATGCGCTGCACTGGTGCATAACATATCGTCAATCAGTAGGATCCTCATCACTGACAGGAAGTGACAATAAATGATTAGACAGGCACTGCCGCTCTGATGCGGTTTCTAGTTTACAGAGAAAACTGTCTCTTACACTTATTGTCTCAGCTCATTGAAATACTGTAAAAAGCAGGAGGAAGCATCACCGCCACCAGATGCTGTGCTGCAGTTGTTTACTACTAATATAAGAATACTTTTTAACCAGCGTATAGCATCAAGCCAGTTAAAACTGGGATATTGATCTGCTCGGTTAATTAGCAGAGGGGGTTGTTAATGTTTGGTGTTAATGAAATTAACATGCCGTAGGGTAGAGGGGCAATAACCCTCAAAATAGGAAGGATTACACAGGTGGAGACCATCTTTCTTTTTTGTTCCACTAGTTTTGTATCAGTGTCTAATTCCAGGTATTTTCTTTAAATCAGCAAATAATACCAAAAATTAATTAATTAATCAATAAAGTACCACCAAAAAACATTACATCTCAATTTCTGCTTTTTTCATTTGCTGTCAGATTGTATGTAAAAATGTACATCCTTTTCATAGTGTGTTCATATGGTGAACATAATGAGGTGAGTGAGTGAGGTGAGTTCCTTATCTCCAGGTGTGCAGGATGCAAAGGCACCCGTGCAACAGAAGATGTGGTTATAAGACTGAGAAAGTTCAAAAAAGGAGAAAAAAACGCAAATCTTTTACATAGAAAGGAAAAAAATCTCACCTTTCCTTTTCTGACTACAGAAATTTAGTTTTTTGAAAATCTTAAATGTATTCAAACTCTCGTTTTCAGTGATCCAAAATGCCGTGTAGGGGAGACCGGGGATAGTTGTAACATTTTTGACATTTCTGTCTGTAAATT